TCAAAAACAAGTATAACATTAGAATAGATACATGTAGTTATATCCTATTTTTTGAAGGTTTGCTTTACACCACTTTGCTATTATGAAAGTCCTACATGATTACAGATTTCCCTATTTATCAAAAATAGCCTAAGAAGTTATTACATGGCAAAAAAATTGGGGCATACCCAAACCTCCAAAATAACTTTCTTCTATGTCTGTTTGCCTTAGTGTCAAAGGTTGAGGTTTATTTCTTGTGGTGGATGTGCAGGTGGAATAATGGATAGTGGCTCAAAATGAGAAATCAAAGAGCCATGTTCAAGTTCCAATTGTGTTCATTATATTCACTGACCAGCTATAGGTTAAAAAGAAAGACTTATAACTGGAAAAAAAATCATTGTTATTTTCAAAAAATTGTTAATGCAATATTCACTTGCAAAAAATAAAAATTATTCTTGCAATTCAAAAATGTTTTCACTTTAAATAATCCATAAAAAAAATAAATCAATTATTTTTGTACAACTGATGTGAAAGGCTTGAAATGACAGTATGCTTGACTGCTTAGCCTTATTTATTTATCTTCTTTGTAGGCACTCAAATCAATACTCCAGACCTGCCCTGTGACCATTGAAAATGAAAATCATACTTTTCTGCATTCATTGCATCACTGTTAATCATAGTAAAAATTTAATGCTTGAGTTTGGTAATGCTCAAAAATATATATATATATATATATATATATATATATATATATATATATATATATATATATATATATAATTCCTTTAGTAACTAGAGATGTGACCTGATGAACCAGGAAAAATATATTTTCTGGGGAAATAAATTATAGTAATGGAACCTTAAGGTGTCTCTTAATTATTATTTATATTATATATATATATATATATATATACCAAGTATAGGATTGGTGTATACGAAATAAATTCCAATAACCAATAAATACTATTCTTAAATAGTGCTCAATACAAAGTAGAGCAAATATAATTATTTATATGAAAATTATAACATAAATATGTTATAAAATCACTACAAAAATAACCACTTTGTTTCAACATTTCTGGTGTCTTATCAAGTGATGGTGTTGAATGAATACCATCACTTGATAAGACACACATATTTATTATATTTTATATATATTATATATATATATATATATATATATATATATATATATGGCAACTGTTTCTTCCCTTTACATCATTTCAGCTGACAAAAGATTTCAGAGGAATGCTCTACTTTCAGATAGAAAGAAAACTTGAATTTTCTATAGTTTATTAAACATCTCTGACAGACCAAAGAAATTTTCTTTCTTTGGAAAATAAAGTTTGTTTGCAAAAAGAAAATGAATCTTTATGACTACAAAGCAAGTGCCAGTGGGATACAGTCAACTTCAACCACAATGGCCAAAGGTCATCTAATCATTCTTCATTTTGTGTTTTTCATTCATCTCATTCATGCTTGTTCTCCTGTTTTTTTTCCCTTTCTTTTTCTCACTGTTTGCTGACCAATACCAAATATTTGGAATCAATCATCAATGACATCTTTGATAAAAACTCACACCAACCATCAGTGCACCAAGCTGGATTTCGATGTAAGTAAAAACAATAATTTACATTTTTTTAGTCTTATGTTTGATCAGTAATGGCATAATAATTTGTGAAGTTTATTTCAAGAAAGACAGTTGAAAAAAAAATTTCCAGAACTTGAAAGATTCATCTCAAATGTATCTTTAAGTGCTTAAAACTGAGTGAAATTCTGAAATTTCACTCAATTTAACATACCTTTGAATTGATTATTATTTTTTTTTTAGTAGATTTAACAATAAATCACAAAATCCAATTATGTAGGATCCACTAATTAGACTTATTTCATATTTATATGGGAGAATATGATATATAAATTTTTATATATCAGAACAATGTTTTGACAACTACAAATAAAAAAAAAAGTTGGTCTAAGTTTAACATAAAACTTGTTACAACTACTAAAACAATAAGAGACTTAATGAAATAATAATCTAAAAATTGAAGGAGGATTTTACTCTAACACCTGTAATGATTGCCACAAGGAATACAGAGGAGAAATTTTGAAGAATTTAATTAAAAGATATGAACATAAAAGGGATCTTTTGCAAAACAACACACTCAGTGCAGTAGTTGCTCACTAAAATGAGCATGACCATAATTTCAATTTTAAAAAATGCTACTTTAATTAAAAGAGAAAGAAATTTACTAAGATGAAAGTGTACAGAAAGTGCTTTGATTACTAGATCATCTACAGTAAATTTGGGTCCTTTGTTAAATACTTTCTATATAACAATTAATCCCAAATAAAAAAATTATATTCTAAATACTTTATAGTGTGAATGTATTTGAAATTTTGAGGAAACTCATACTCTTTCTGCATCTGTTTTTAATGGACTGAGAAGAGAATGGAATAAAAATAAGGAAAAGACATGAGAGTATCTTTAGAAGGTAATGAAGGCCAAGGAAAAGACATGAGTATCTTTAGAGGGTAATGAAGGAGAAGGAAAAGACATGAGTATCTGTAGAGGGAAATGAAAGAGAAGGAAAAGACATGAGTATCTGTAGAGGGAAATGAAAGAGAAGGAAAAGACATGAGTATCTGTAGAGGGAAATGAAAGAGAAGGAAAAGACATGAGTATCTGTAGAGGGAAATGAAGGAGAAGGAAAAGACATGAGTATCTGTAGAGGGAAATGAAGGAGAAGGAAAAGACATGAGTATCTGTAGAGAGAAATGAAGGAGAAGCGAAAGATATGTGACAATATCTTGAAAGAGGAACAAAACATAATGAAAAACCTGACAATATCTTAAGAGGAGAAAAAAATATCTTTAAAAAATACAAGAAAAAAAAGAAATTAATGTTGATCTCTTTTTACTTACACATTTTAACTGCATCTTTTATTAATACAAACTATGCTTTCAAATCTTATTGCACAAAAAATAACATTCATTTAACTTACTCATCTGATTACTTTATTGTATAAATAAGAAAGTCTTCATTCAGGCAGATTTATTGAATTTCTTTTAAAAAATTTATCAAAAAATTCTAATCAAATGATATATTTCAAAGCAAAACATTCAAATCCTTGTTTTGTGAAGGATTGAAGAAATCATCAAAGTTAAATTTAGTAGACACAAATTTTCATTAATACTTTCATGTTTATTCTCATTGTAGAAAATATTTTATTGATGTGTTTTAATACCATTAATACTATTAAGAGTTATATTAGAAATAATCACTATTGTGGAGTAATTAGCCATGATTAAGTGTAATTGGGAAAATGCTCAACAAATGGAATTGACAAATTTCTCAAACAATAAGAAAAGGAAGAAAAAGAATGGGGGAAAATAATACCAAGCAAATAATATATATGCAAGCAAAAACAAGGCAAAAAGTTCACAAAGTAAGAATTATATTCACACACAAAAGGGACATAGATAAGTGATTCTAACTTCAAGACAAGAACAAAAAATATAGCAGATGGAATGTTCTTAGCATTCATTCCTATGACTGGAATCAACAACTATTAACTAATTAATACCAACTAAATTAGAGATAACTACATGTGTTTCTCACACTTCCTGCCAAATGTTAACTAAGTCTGATATAACAAGTGTCGAGGGTTAAGTAAGGTTACAACAAAGAGAATATTTGAATGCAACTCTTTGTTAAATTAGAGAGCCAACAAAAATAACAGTTGATAAATAAAGATGATGTTTCTTACTACAAAGACTACAATTATACTATCACCTTAACACAACAAAATGAAAGACCAGAATAACTGAAAGAAATTAATGTCAAATATACATTGTGCTCAAAGAGATCTTAAATACAGATATCTCATACAAGAAATGATATACAAATATGTATATACCTGTCAATATTTGTCCCACACAGATAAGCTAGAACATAAATGAATAAAACAAGCTGTGTGAATGGGTGAAAATCAAAGAAATCCTACTAGTAATATTTCCTGAAGGAAAAACAGTCAAAGGTGATAGTGTCTTTTGTGTTCCTTGTTGGGACCATGAGGTTTCCTAACCACTGATGACATTCATATTAACTAGGATTCATTACTGAAAAAGCTGACAACAGTTACGTCATCCTACACAAAGGGAGATGATCACACACTGAATTCCAACATAAGTAAAGAGACTTGAGTATCTAAGGGGAAAATATGAGATTTTTAAATTCAATGATAACATTTATTAAAGTAAATGCATGCTGTATTTATAAACAAGCAATGTCTTAAGCAAGAATAATATGCAATTAAATAACACAAGAGAAAATTAGTGGAAATATAGAATCAAGCATAAGACAAAATAACGCAGATTTAAAAAATTAAAATATTGAAATTATCAATATATTTCAATAAATTTCCTAAGAAAGGAATTTTTTGTTTGAAACATTGAAATAGACAGTTATTAATGAACATGGCAAATTTTCATCCTTTGTTGAATAACATTTTTGCACAAAAAACATAAAATATAAGTGTAGTCAATATATAAATAGATTACAAAAAATCCAAAATAATTGGCTGATCCCTAATAAAAGTCTATAGGCAAGCTCCTCAGCTGAGGCATCAAGATCTCTACTTTTACATGAAGCATGATGGAGCATAAAAGAAAGATCAAAAGAGAAATTTGGCACATGTTATACTTTAAATAATGGTTCGTGGGGACATTAGTTCCAACAGCAATACTAGTTATAAAACAAGGGAGTTAATTTATATATCATTTTTTTTTTTAACTAAACTGACCTTCAAGTTGAATTGAGTAGGTCATCATTATCTGCAGTATATAATTGCTCTGTCTGTTTATATTTGATCACATGTAAAAGCAGACAATGTTAATAAATCAAGTACTGAATAGCAGTTAAATTTCATTACTATGCTTTCTGTACTCATTTTAAAATTCATTGGCATGTTTGCTTTTAATGAAATTGAAATTGAATGCTGATAAATATTCATCTTTAAATGTTCATTATTTATTCTGCTTCTTGTAAATATCAGTTTAATTTCTTTGTTTTTTTACACACAATTTTCTTGAAATAAAATTCACCAATAAACTATTGAAGTGAAGCCTTAAGGTTTTGTTTTTCTTATTTTATTTTTGCTTCTTTCTCTCTCTCAGTACAACCTAGTCCATTAGATTCTGCACAGAGAAGTTCCGCTTACATCCGGCACAAACTTGGTGGGAGATCAAGTTCCTTGGAAATTGATGAATCAAAAACTGGAATTTCTACTTTCTCTTTGTCACCTAATCCTTCACCTGTAAGCTCAATCCAAAACCTAACACAAGTAAGTAATTTTTTTCCAAAATTATAAACTTCACAATTATCTTATTTTTCAATGGTGTTGTATCTACTGAAGAAACAATTAAAATAAAAAACATTTTTTTTTTGGGGGGGGGCGTTTTAATTAATATACTTATATTTATTAGTATTAATCAATAATTTATTTAATATGCTATTTTAATTCATCATCAGATGCAAGAAATAATAATAAATTTTACAAGTATTCAAACTGACTATTGAAAACTGAAGACAGATTATGCTAGGGGCATTTTTGTCCAACAACAGATACTATCAAGCCAAAATATTAACCTGAAAACAAGTCATGGTCATAAATAGCCTCATCATATCTACACTGTCATTTTATTCAACTCATTCAGAATGTCTAAACTATTATCTATATACAACTGTTTACTTGATTAAAAATGAATTCTTTGGGTTTTAAAGAAGACAATATTCCATCAAACCCTATAGAGTGGTACAACAAAATCACAAAGTGGTTTACCAAGTAACAAAAACCACATCACTTGAACACTTCCAACAATAACAGAAATGGGTAGCATGTAACTAAGGAAAAAAATAATGATGTCATCAAGATGTTAACTTTCCGCACTACTAAATGCAAAAAAAGTGAAAAAGAACTCCCATCATCACTAGAAAGAGTTATAACAGTAAACTTGAGACTGAAAAACTGTTTTAAGATAAAGGTTTTAAAAATTTTAATCAACAGTAATGCTGACTGTTCAATCAATGAATGCTGACTGTTCAGTCAATGAATGCTGAATGTTTCCTCTAGAGAAAGAGTTAATTTCAGCACTACCATTGTAGATAAAGGCTAGATATTCATACTGATGTTTGAACTTAAGCCCAAAGGTCAAGTACCATTACCAGATGAGCTATATTCACAAATCAATGTTTGCAGCATGGCTATTACAGCATTACCAGATGTTACTTTAAGAAAAAAAATTGGATAATCTGGGCTCTTAATAATGAGAAAAATTTTGAAGCCTAGTGTGACTTCAAAAGTTAGTCACACTAGACTTTCAAATGCAACTTGATTCATTATTTATAGTCCTCTAATACTTATATATAGTCTTCCAATATGCAGTGTTAGAGATCAGAAATACCTCCCTCATAAGGGCAAGACCTTAGCTAGATGAAGACACCATTGTTACTAATGTCTTACTATTATGTGGGAGGTATTTCTGCCACACTCTGTAAAAAGTTATGAACAGCTGCTGAGTGTCAGGGATATCAAAATGCTAAGTTAAATTCAGTCAATTGAAGAAGTTCAGTTTTTGCTAAATGAGCTAGTTTATCTGCATATTCTTATACCTTTCTCTCAGAGACTAGCAGAAAACCTAAAATAGCATCAATCTATATGTGCAATATGAATAGAAACATTTCTTCTCAGTCAATGCCATAAAGCAAGCAAGCTTTTAGATACTGTAAATATGATCTTCCTTTCTACTATAGCCTCCCCAAAATAACTTAAGACAAGTTCTAAAATTGGCATGAACAGTAAGAACACTTACTTAGCTACTTACCTATCATCTGAGCTTTACTCCTTAACAACAACAAACTAATTCTAGGGAAGCTTATATTTCAAAGTATTTTCTTTTCTTCTTTTTAAGTTTTTCTTGATGACTTTTTGATACTTTTCACTGCTCATCACTTTCAACAGAATCACCTTTTTCCCCATGCACTAACCAGAGACAAAATATCTCATCACATACAACAGGTAATGTTTTGCTATTTAAACCGTTCTCAAAAGGTAGAAAGAGTTTAACATAGTAAAGAAGCAACATAAACTCTAGTGCTGAATCCAGACCCAACAAATCTTGATTTTTTTTTTCCAAATACTGCAGAGGAGAATTCATCTTTGAGTGTCAAGACTAAGTTCAGTTCATTCATTTTCTGTAGCTGTTTTAAACATCAAACATTTGAAGGAATAGTGCATTAATTCTTTTCAAACTTAATTTATTTCTAACTTTTGCCAATTTTAAAGGTAAGTGAAATTTTAAATCAAGAGATATCTACACAAGTTAAATTCTCTATACTATATATATATATATATATATATATATATATATATATATATATATATATATATTCTGATAGGATTATAGTCTGTCTCTATATTTTCACTTATAATGATCTCATTTTGGTAATTTCCATGGAAATTAAATGCAATCAAATATCTATACTGTGTTTGGTTAGCTAACTCGAGCCAGTCAATCTGGTTAGGTTTATAGTATGATAATATTCCTTTATAAAAATTCCTTTGCTCTCAGATTTGAATGGTTGGGTTAAGCCAACAAGGAGCCTTGACAATTTGGGAGGAAATGACAAAATGGAGAATAAAATGGTCAGACATATGGTACATTAATTATAACCAACTAAAGTTCTTGGTGCAGGCAGTAGATGACGTATTGTCAAGCCCCATAAATCTTCACACCTGAAATAAAACAGAGTCCCCAACTTGACCACTATGTGCAGGTAGAGGGTCACTGCAACATATACTAAGCTGGTGCTCCAAAGCTTTAACTGACAGACATTATCACTGCACCACAACCAGATATTAAAGATAATTGCTGACACAATTGACACCATGATTCACAACTAAAACTGAACAAACACACATTAAATTTCCTTAAGGCCAGAGAGAAGAAGTCATCACAGAAACAAAAAGAAACATCCAATATGTTTTCATCAGCTGAAGACCGGCAGATGAAGGTGGACCTGGGGAGCCAACTAAAATTCCTCAATCACATAGTAGAGACAACCCTATACCCAGACATGGTCATATTCTTTAACTCAGCAAAAGAAATAATTATGTTGGAACTGACTGTGGCTTGGGGACAATGTAGAAGAAGTAAACAAAAGGAAAAGAACAAAATACTAAGAGTTAGTAGAAGAGTGCAGAAAGAAAGGCAGAAAAACGAGCTGCAAACCAAGCGAAGTAGGGTGTAGAGGATTTGCTGCAAGATCCTTAATCAGAACCCTGACAAGTTTCGGTTTGATAGGAAATAAGAAAAATAAAGCAATCCAAAATGTATCAGAGACTGCTAAGAAAGCAGCAAAGTGGTTATGGATAAAGAGAGGAAGAACGTGGATTAGAAAATAAGATTTAAATTTACAATAGTAATTTTACCCATGCCATGGGCTTGGACAATTTTTATATCAATCTATCTTGTTAATGTTTTGTTAGATCATTTTCAGTGTTACACTTTTGTCCATAATATATCCATATATATTCATGTCTATCCCTCAAATTGAGGGATAGACATGAATTAGTGATAGGGAAAGCAGCAATGGAACCTCCTTATTTATTTTTTAAAGTTTATTTAGTTATTTATTTCCTTTTTTTTTTTTTGACAGGTCATCTTTTCAATCTCCCATCCCCCAGATCCATATACAGTGATAATTGTTTCATTTAGTTAGCCATTAAATTCAAGTTTTATCAAACTAACTTGTAGATAAATAATCATTTCATTTCTAGCCGTTATATTTTTCATTTTATTTTATTGGAGGTGGGAGGAATAGGCTTGCCAGTAAAGTGGTCCCTGATGTTGCCAATAATTTGTGTCTGCTCCTCAAATTGAGAGATAGACATGGATTAGTGATAACGCTGGCATGTACTTTATTTGGCACACCTACAAGGGATCCCCTCCCATTTTTTTTTTAAATATAGGTAATGTTTCCCTTCTTCCCTCCCCCACAGTGATAGTTGATTCACTTTAATTAGCTGTTAAATTTAAGTTTTGTAAAACTATAATCGTTTTGTTTGTGCTAGCCATTGGTTTGTGGATAAATGATTGTTTCAGTTAAGGCAATCACCACCTTGTGTATAAATAATTATCTAATATGAATCAGCTGTTTGTTCATGGGCAGGATGGTTGTTTCATTCAAACTGGCCTTTATCTGGTAGACAAATAATAGTTTCATTTTATGTAGCCATTAAGAATTTTTTTTTTTTTTTAATTATTATATATATTGTGTGTGTGTGTACGCAATATAAGTTCAGACAAGGTTTACCAATAAAAATACAGTAGACAAATTCCATTTCTTGAACCAAGAAAAAAAAACAAAATGAACTTACCTCAGGCAGTTCATTATTATCCTGGTAATGAAATTGGCACCAAACTCTGAGTAAAGCCTAGAAAACTCCTATAAAGATAGCAGTCAAGCAGAACTCAAATGCCATTGACTGAGGGTAACATGACCAAAACATATAAAAATACGAAACCACTTAATAGTCAGAATTTACCAATATCAAAATGGAGGTGAAGTTTGTAAAAGCCAGTTGCTGGAGGAGAATCAGAGTCTGATCAAACCTGATTAGGTCTCTTGGCGGAGAGAATACAATGTTGAGAGACCCAAAATTCTTGAGGAACCCGGGAATATATTACTGGCAAATCCTTCCTGTTCATCAAAAAGATGTATTTTGTGAAATATAACCCCAATTTTTTTTTTTTAATAAAGACATCATTAAATTATTTTACTGTATCCAGATGCATCCTAATTATAAACAAGATGATAGGTCATTAAAAATATAATTTGCTGGTATATAACTATTAACAATCCTAACCTTAGATTTATCATTTACTATAAAATATTCAAAATGTCTGATCTAATTATGATCAATAATTCAGCAGCTCAAAAATCCACTTTATATGAAAAATAATGTTGTTTATGAATTCTCATGTCCTTTAGGAGATTGTATCTCCAATTCTAATAAACAACATTAAATTCTTACATTGGCCATACATAAACCACACTCTCTTTTAGGGTGACTCATTGCTTGTTAAAATTTAGTGCAACTCATATACTTATCAATCAGCACATCACAAATAAGCAAAATACTATTAATATGAAACATATTATTCAGGACTCATTGCAAAGATAGACTCAAATTTGTAAAAGTCATTATAAAACAAAAGAAACAACCAACATTAAATATCTTTCTCCATAGAAGATCATATACTGAACTGTGTATGAAAAAAAAAGAGTACATATAGAAGCTTGATACATGCTTTTCCATTTGACCATTGCAAATGATATCACTTTCAACTAACTTAAATTCTAATTCCAGCAATCTAAAAACATCTTGCCTACTATACTGATCACTCCTAATTCTTAACAATGACTATGACAGTCAAAAGTACTCAAATATAAAAGGAAAAAAACTTAACATTGGACAACACCTCATTCTGAATAGACATAAAAGTTGAATAGACAGACCGTGTCAGTGGTATTTAATAAAACTTGTTTGGATTAACTTTGCTGCCTAAATACACTTATATATAGGCAACAAAGTTATGGAGCCACGTATTCCTTGGACACCTTTATTTTTAACCCCATTTAATATAGCTAAATTAACTAAGAAATTTAAACCATGTTGCAGTCATGTATTATTTATTTTCATTCTTTTAAAATTATTAAAAGAAAAAAGACTTTACATTTGTTTTATACAGGCCATAGGAAAAGAAATCATAATATTAAGTGTCTGAAAGAGGCATATGCACAATAAATTTAAAGAATATAATTTTTGATATCACTAAGTGGAAAACAAGAAATAAATGTAATTCTAGGATCCAAAGAGAGAACAACTTTTTTCTTCATTCTCAACTGAAAGAGTAAAATATCTCTTTTTCTCTCAATCAAGAATGAATATATGACCACTTACATTTCATAAAAAGTCTTCTTTGTAACTGTTACAATTACTCCATTACATTATTTTAGTGGATACCTATCTTTGAAAATCTACATCACAGAGAGTGTCACAGCTCAGCAAGGTTCAGCAAAGAGCTGTGATACTCTCTGTGGCCAAGTGGCCTAAAGCACACTAGATCAGATGGTGGTTTCTCTTATAATGGGGGGGATGCAGTTTTGAACCTTGTTGGAGAGGAAAATTTCCTTTATTAAATTCCTAGAAACCAGTAGACATAATGTTTATTGTTTAAAAGGCAATGATTAGAATTGTAATAAAACTTAAACATATGACAAAAGTGAATTTCCTTTGTTCTTCAGAACTGACAATAAAATTAATAAACACTATTTATTTATTTATTAGATTGTTTGTTTACAATATTATATTGTTTTTTGGAAGGGTTGGCAAAACATTGTCTAATTGCAAATTGATTTGAACTTTATGATGTGGTAAATAATAAGGATTTACTTATCATTGGTTCACATATTTTAATAATTTAGTAAATATTTATAAATTTATGAATTATTTTCATATTTATTTCTTTATGAAAACTGGTAAATGATAAATATTGCATTATTTTTTAAAATGTTGTAAATATAAAATTATTCTTGTAAATAATCATATATTTTTTCTGGCACTCAGTGGAGAAATAGAAGCAGACTGATTTTAGCTAAAATAAAATCCTTAAAAGTTTGTCTCCCTTTAAGAAATATATATTTTACTATGTTTCTCTTACAGGCTGCAAAACATCAAAATTTAAAAAAATAAATTTTTTTTATTTTGAGGGTGAAAGTGGCATCAACATAATAGAAGAAAACTATTTATATCCTGACTTTAAGCCTTTTTTTTTTTTTTAAACATTATTCATGTTTCATTTTTACAGTTTATCAACCCTTTGTTGGTTTATTTAAAATATGCTTACAATACCCAAAGTTCCCAAGTATTCCTCCATCTAACTAGTGACTGGGCTCAATGTTGCTTAATTTTGGTAATTGAATAAGAACAACTGTTTTCAGTGTGATTTGACCATATACATTGTCTTCATTAAGATTAAACCTGCAAAATATAGATGAACCTCATAATGGTGTCTTGCTTAGGCACACAATTCTCTAAAGAAATTAGTTTCTATGTCAACTCTGTAATGTCATATTTGCTCGATATTTTAACAGTGACATTTAAGACAAATATTTGGTAAATTGATATTTTTGATTAGATTGAAAAGTTATGAGCAAAGATTACTTCCTAACTTTTTTTGTTATTATTTCATATCTTTATTCAGTATTTTTCTCAAATACAAATCCATCAAATGAAGAAGTATTTCTGTTCTGTATTTTCTCATGGTTGCTTTCTGTGTAGCAATGCATGACCAGTGAAATTAGATTGCTAATCATCTTTCAGGTATGCTCAAAATTCATCCAGGTGTATTAATTTTGTTGTCTAATTTTTTAAAAAACACATATTAGGAATTTATGTAAATTTTTATTCTCATTTCAGTCTAAATCCAGTGGTAGGAAGAAATCTGAGGATATATATGTGGTACTGTATAATTTCAAGGGGAAAGAGAAAGATGATCTTGACCTCAGGTAAAATATTCTTTTTCTTCTTTTCTAGCTTTCAGAAAATATGATGAAAAAATTTCTGTGATTCAAAAATAGTGCAAGATTTTTAATGAGAGATTAAACAGAGCCAATATATTTATACCTAACTCATTACATTAATGATTCTATTAACAATGAAAACCTACTTATACTATTTATACATAAAACTCAATTTTTGACCAGGTTTGAATATACAAGGCAAGTATTTATCTACTGACAATTTTATGTTGCTTCTCCCATGACCTAGGATTTTGCAAAATATCAAAACTGAGCCAAGAATTTTACAAAGTGGAACAATTGGTATTTTTCATCAACTATATATTCATCTGAAATTATATAAATCCTATTAATTTAGCTATTTGGTCAAATTTGGAGATAAGAATTTTCCAACATATGTACATATATCTTGCACTAATACTAAACAAAAATTTCAGAATATGATTAGGTGAATTCATACAAAGATTTTAAATTTACCTACAACACAATATGGCATTGGTTTTAACGTATTTTTTAAAAAGAAAAAAATGATTTCTGTTTCTTTTTTTAAACTACACTTTTCACCCAATACAAGGCCAAAGCAATACTCTATTTTTGTTCTGATCTTGTAAAGACAAAGCCTGGCAGGAGGAGTCAGGTACTTTTTGGAACAGCACAAGGAACAGATTATTTTCCACCATTTTTAGCATTGAATTATATGAGTTCTACTTGAGATCTAAGGTGAACTTGAGTCCCGACAGACTGAATGAATAAAATTCAGTCTTATTGTAGTTATTGCTGCATTTCCCAGTATATATCATTCTCCAATAATTTGGTAAAAAATATTACTGAAGAGACTAAAATTAATTATAATATTTGTGTGCAAACATTTTTCTTGGGGGAGGGGAATTCTCACATCATATTTATTTATAATCATAATTTAATAATTTATAACTATATATAATTCTGTGATCATCAGTGGATTAATGTTTCTAACAGGGGTATTTAAGTGTTTGTCTTGTCCTTCAGCTTAGCTCTCAGTGTCTAAAATGCAAGGTGATTTCTGAAGGAATCTTTTGAAAATAAAATATACACTTTATATGATGGGAAATACAGTATATTGTAAGATTTGTATATCTATCTGCACCATGATTGAGAAAATACTTCTCTACACTAATGTGCCAAAGTTATGGCAGAATGTAAAGGTAATAATAGGTGACACCACTGTTATCTTGATCTCATGGAAATGCCCAAATTTTTATCAGTTGAACTCTGATATCTAGTGACTCAGTGTGAACACTGGCTAGACTGGTCATAGCAAGTTGATGTGAATTACCACAAATTTTGCTCAAATAGAACATGAATGCTAAATAGATGGGACATGTGATTTCTGAAATTGTGAAAACATTTGACATGCCTCAAGATATAGAATAAATGAAGTTATAATTAAGATAACTTTTGCAACATGATTTTATATTAATAGTAGCAGAACTTCCCAACATAGATTTATTTCAAATTTGGTACACTTATAGAGCTTCATGATAGAAATTAAATGATACCTATTTTACATCCCTAGATCAAAGGGTTCCTGAGATATGACCTTTTGACCCTTGCCAAAAAGATGAATTTTGGAAAATAGTCACAAAATTTAAATATTTTTTGACCCACAAGGCTAAATTATATACCATGGACCTAAAAGTGATCTATTTATTTTTTTGGTAAAGGTCAAACATTACTGTGACATCATAGAAAAACTGCCTGCAGAAGTAGTCAAAAACCTTATGGACATAATAGAAGCCATACTTGAAGAAAATCCTTGCAACACGCTGAAATCTGCCATAATTAAATGGACTAGCAAGTCCAATGAAACTATTCTGCATGACTTGTTTAATATTGTGAAACTGGACAACCAAACTTCTTCCCAATTACTTAGAAATATGAAGTGTTTTTTTAGGATATAACATCAAAGTATAAAATATTTTTTGCCAGTTGTGGCTAGACAAACTGCCTAATACAATGACACAAATATAAGCTCCTATGATAGAAGACATAGAGCTTGACATACTGTCAGAGTCTACATTCATGTAGGTCTAAAAGGCAAAGATATAAATGCCTTATACACACCCATATGACCTACTAACAAGTAGTTAAAAAAAAATTACAAGTCACAGTTGTAATTTTAGCTCAACAAATGCAATCCCTTTTGAGTATACTGCACACCAAACAAGCAAACTTAATTTCAGATGAAGGAGCTCCAGTAGAAGTTTTAGCAAAGAGAGAAGACACAAATATGATGTATGTCACTACCACTATAAATTTGATATAGAAGCAAGATGATACCTGAAACCTTGTGCTTTTAAAGACAATAATGCACAGGAAAACTTCAACTCCAACCAGTAGTGATGATGACTGCTGCAGGACTTTCACAGAAAGCTTGTCTGTTCTAAATTCAGGATAAGAATCATGGATATAATTTTTTTTAATAGACACTGGAACATAAATAAATGTTTTACTATCAGACACAAAACAAAAATTAAAACTAGGACCTTACAAACTACAGGTGGCTAATGGTACTAAAATTGACACCTTTGTGAAAAAGCTGTGACCACATTCCCTATGGGTGTTCACCTGAACAGCTGTTACAACACCTATACTAGGTGAAGACTTCTTAACTAATTTTAACTTATCAGTTAACATGGTTACTCAATCTCTTGTTGACAACTTGACTGAACTTTCAGTGTGAGAAATTTGCTTTCAATACCAATCAACTGAAAGTAGCACTGTCCTACCACAAGATAAAAGTATCAAAGAATTGCTATAAAAATACACAGAAATAACACAGCCATTTAAGTACATGAACACCATGCTAAACACCATATCAAAACAACAGGACCACCAATACATTCTACACCAAGACAATTGAAACCTTAAAGTACAAGCTTGCTAAGGCAGAGTTTCAATGAATGCTGCAGATGGGAATTATACACCCAGCCCCACTGCACATAGTCCCTAAAACAAACACTATGGCATGATGTCCTTGTGGTGATTTCTGCAAATTGAACACTATCACAACACCAGACAGATACCCCGTTCCTCATATACACGATTTTGCCATCAGTCTTGAAGGTTCCCACATTTTCACAAAGTTAGACTGTGCAAAGATTATTATCAAGTACCAGTGGCTGAAGAGGATATCCACAAAACTGCTATTACCACACCGTTTGGGTTATATGAGTTTGTACAGATGCCTTTTGGAATGTAGAATGCAGCTCAAACATTTCAACATCTAATAGATGAAGTATTTAGATGTTTACTGTTCATTTATGCCTACATAGATGATGTTTTAATTGTCAGCAGAGACATGGAAGATCACAAAATACATTTATAACAAATCTTCCAGAGACTTTCACACTTTGGACTAAAAATTAATTCACACAAATGTATTTTTGGAGAACCCAAACTGAATTTTCTTGACCATGAAGAGAAGACATTTTACCTTTTCCAGATAAGGTTGAGGCAATCTAAAATTTCTTGCAAACAAATTTACTATGACAGTGGCAAAGATTTATAGGACTTATAAATTATTACAAGCAGTTTGTACCAAATTTCTCTACTGTACTTTCACCCTTGGCAATTTATTTGCAAGCAAGAACAAAAACATTACATTGCAAAGTGAGACACTGGAGCATTCAACAATGCTAAGGCATCATTAGTCAACTTCACTAAGCTTATTTACATCAAGGATGATAAAATTAAACTTATCTATACAACAGATGTTTCATCAACCGCAGTAGGTGCAGTTATACACCAAGTATCAGAAGGACAAATCACACCCAAAGCTTTCTTTTCTGCTGAAGTAAGCAAAGCACAAACCAAGTATAGCACCTTCTCAGTTAGCAATCTACCTTTCAATTAAGCATTTTCAGCACCTCCTTAAAGGTAGAGATTTCATTATATACACAGACCACAAACTATTGATCTATGCATTGCATACACACACTGACAAATATAGTCCACATGAAATTAAACACCTAGATTATATTTCCCAATTTTCTTCAGACATTAGACATGTGTCAGGTCAAGAAAACATAGTGGTAGACACACTTGTTATGCCAAAACTGCATCTTTAGATTCTAGTTCTTTAAACTACAACTACAAAAGAGCAAACTATAGATGACTCACTAGAAGAATTCAAACTAAGCACATCACTAAAGTTAGCTGAGTTACCAGTCCTATTCAGTGATACCAAATTTTATTATGACATTTTACAAAAACAACCACTGCCCTACATACCAAAGTTGAGATGACAAATATTTCAATACTTCCATGAATTGTCTTATCCAAGTAAACATGCAACTGTGAAGCTGAATACTGAACATTTTGTTTGTCCAAACATGTCAGTCAACATAAGAAACTGGACAAAAACTTGTTTAGCATGCCAGAAAAACAAGATACACAAAATCACCTGCAGGCACATTCAGCACACCTGATGCAAGATTCACTAACATATATGTTGACATTGCCAGTATATATGTATGTCCCTGAGAACAAGGTAAAGATCTGACAATCATAGATAGGTTTACTTGCTGGCCTGCCACAATAGCCATCAAAGATATTTCAGCTTCAACAATTGCCAGAACTATGCTTACTGATTGGATATCAGTTTTTGGAGTACCTTCAATGCTTACAACAGGCAGAGGAACTCAGTTTCAGTTTACCCTATTTAAAGAATTCAGTTATCTACTTGGAACTAAGCACATAAAAACTACAGCCTATTACCCTTGTGCAAATGGGTTGGTGGAACATTTCCACAGGCAGTTACAAGTAGCACTGGCTATGAGACCAAACAAAAATGATTGCGTGGGAATTTTACTGTTGGTACTTTTATCCATCAGGAGCAATGTAAGAAATGATTTGTGTTGTACACCAGCTGATATGGTTTTTGACACATCATTAACTGTACCAGGTCAATATTTTGAAAACAAGTCAGAAATTTTACCCACAAAAATATTTGTACAGGACTTAAAAAACAGAACATCAGCATGACCCTTTACACCGAAACAGACAGCCAACAAAAAAATATACCTACCAAGTGATTTTTACACCTGCAAATATATATTTATAAGAAATGACAGTGTAAGAAAGACCTTTGAGTCCAAACTATATAGGCCCATACCAAATTATCAGCAAAAAGGATAAGTACCTCATAAAAAATGAGAAAAAAGATAATATTGCTATAAATAATCATAAAACATCTTATGTCAATAAGCAATTCTTACAACGAAGTGATCATTCACACTTAAAACCTACACAAAAGATGGATTAACAAGCATCGAATACAGCAGATGACACTCCATCAGAAGCAAGAACAAAGAAGAATATTACAATGTCTGGAAGACAAGTACATTGGCCACATTACAAAACATACTTCAGATATTAAAGCATTATTTTTACACAGCACTAGAAATAAATTTCTAATGATCTGGAGGAGGCCTTTGTCATGTCCCTAAAGAAATAAAAATTAATTAAACTGTCACTTGATCATGTCCATAAAAAAGTAAATAAATAAAAATTCATTATAGTGTCAAAAATAATTATAATCAAATAATTATAACAGTTATAATTACCATTAATTCACTCATTCTAAACCAATATGAATCAACCCTAGTTTTCACCTCTACATGCACAAACATGTGACATTCTGTCAGACAGGCTGTTCACATGAACAGGTCATCAACATGTGTATCAACAAAAATTTTGACTCTTTTTCTTTTCAGGCCATAATAGTAACATTTATCTTTTAGCACTCAACAAAAATTTGTGTTAAAGAGACCCCAGACACTTGTATTTTTCCAACTCAATTATCTGGACACCCATTACACACATATATAAAAAAAAAATCATACAAGAGACTGTATACACTTTGCTTATTCTTTATTTTATCCTTCTGCCAGATTCTGATTCATATTTGATCTAAATTTGACCCTTAACTCATAATTTTACTAAGTATTACTGTCTCTCATGTCACCAACAACCAGATAATAAACAACACTTGTTTTGTTGTTTCCACATCTTGCTGTTATTTTTGAGTATTTTTGTATATATAAATCTTAGAGGATTTATAAATATTTACTCAACTCCCCTATATACTCAAGACTTGAGAGCACACTTAGCTACGGGTTAAATAGCAAGACAAAGTAGAAAATTCAGGGTATTAGTATAAAGCAACAGACTAGACCATAACTTGAAGGGAGTTCAACTTCCACATTAATAACCATAATACAATCTCCACATTTAAAATGAAATGAAGAGAAAATAGAGTGATGTGACAGAAAGCAAAGGGAAGTAACCTCCAAGTGATGCTGTTCATGTGTTTGAAGGTGAAAAAAAAATAAAAATAAAGAAAAGCTATTGAGTTATTTCTGTTCATTTGCATGTAATTTGTATAGAAATTGGGGAAAATATTTTTAAGTGTTAATATGTGGTTCATGGAGACAAAACATCTGTAATATTTTCATATTTAAAATTCAAAAAAAAAAAAAAAAATCTTTATGTGTTAGGGTCTAAAATATACCTACAAATATTACCTAGGAAAACTTATTTCTTCATTCTTTTTTAACCATTTTAATTACAATGAGAAAAAAAAAGTTCTTTGAGAAAATACTTTGAATTGACAAACTATCATAAAGAAAATGTCAGCTAAAGCAAAAATAACTGCTTTCTGATAATTATAAATATTTGTGTAGTCTGGTAACTTGCTTAGTCTGGTAAAAGACCACAAATGCTGAGCCCCTTGTGAGGACTGAACTCACTTTAATTGATGATATTAGCTTGGTAATTATTTAATTACTGCACAACAAATTTCCCTACTTTCCTTTAACATCAAAAATTTCTTAATCTTTTAAAAACTGATAAAATCTTAAATTCTTTTTCATAAAGTTCCCACATTGTGAAATCTACTTTTAAATGTATATATGATGAGAGGCAGAGCATTTAAACACATGATTTACACCTCAAATCTTTTCATTTTTTTTTTTATAACTAAAAATGGTAAGAATAATTTTTTTCTTCAACTTTTTCAGAGCTGGTTGGCGCCTTTCAGTCCTTGATAATTCTAAAAAGGATTGGTGGAAGGCAAGTATTATAACTTTATTTTTCATAAATAATACAAAGAAAATCATAATATATGCTAAAAAGATCACAAGTGGGAACAGGGTTTTTTTATCAAAATGACCTTAAATTTTTAATTACTGAGATTCTGTTCATTAAATATGCCATCTAGAAATGATTAAAGTATTTTAAAAATGAATAATCAAAATACAAGGTGATAATTTCGTAATATTTTACATATTACTGAATTTGTTTAAAAAACACATCAAAGAGGCTGTGCAAGGTTGAAGAAAGGAACATTTGGTCTTGTAAAAATATTCAACTCATTCACAAAGAAAAGGAAAGGAAAATAAGAAAGCAGATAAAATGTAAATCCAAAATTTTTATATTCCAGATATAGTTGAGGTGATTTACAAAAATTGTTTCTTCTTTATTTCAGTCCAGTTTCTTCTCAGGAAGAGATTTTCATACAATAAGAAATAGACTAGACACAGGAAGATTTTTTTTAATTCCTCCTATATGTTGACTCAAACTGTTGCATCTATCTGCTAATCATATCATCATGTGACTGCCTACTTGATAAGTTGTCCTTTACTTATACCTGGTATGTTGACAAATGTATATGAATATTTAACAGAAAAATGCTTGGCCCAAATTGAATCTGTGCTACTTAAAGAGTACACCATTTCTAATGACTATTAATACTACCTCCTCTGCAAAGGAGTACCAGAACAAAACAGCCACCTCCTAACTGCTGGTGTTGTGATCAGGACAACAGAGGCGAGTGTAGTATCATTGGGCCTCACATGTGTGTTCAGTTTTTTTTTTTTTGCTACCTTGGATTTTAACTACTCAAATTTGCAGCCATTCATTTTGCTACAAAGACAATTTATTACAGTATCAAATATACCAAACACACACACACACATATATATATATACATACATACATACATACAAATACATACATACATAAATCCAGTTTATTTTAATTGCCCAATATAATCTTTAAAATTAAAAAAACTAATCCCAATATAATATAATACATAATTGCACCAAGATAGTGATAATCAGATATATTAAAATTCAAATTACATAACGGTCAGTTCATACTCAGCACCTGAAGATTGCATTGTGCATGCATGAAACTCGAAATCATGCTAGCGGTGAGGGATAACATGTATAATAATATGTACTTAATAACTGTTATATTACTTCATAAAGATACTTTTTTTATTAACACCAGACAAACAAACTCTGTTATATTACTTATACTTTTTTTGCTATATATATATATATATATATATATATATATATATATATATATATATATATAATTTGTTTAAACGTTATTTTTAAATGGATACTCATATTTGGGTAGATGCACTGTTTTTATTTATTTATTAAATACTATATTAATTTATTTACATCTACTGGCCTGAATATTCAAAAAATCTTGTTAGAAAAATATGCGTCCTCCAGCAGGATTTTTAAACCCTGCGTCCCCTGTGGGAAACCGTTATTAGATTTGACGAGCCTTAGAGCAATAGTGCTTTTTCCCCGATTCTATGAATCAAGCAAAGTAATGAAAAATGAAAAAGTTTGTGTTTAGATTGTATGAACGAAACATAAAAATAATCAATTTATAATCTTCACTCAACGTTAAATGTTCTCATTTACAACCTTGTTTGACCTAGCTCATATGCATCATTTTTACATATTCTACAACATATGCAAATTATATTCGACTTCAGTCGCATTAGGGGTTAAAAGTAAAAATAGAAAAATATACATGAATTGCACAATACAGGGGAGGTAACTTTTTAAAACTAGCACACAATAGTAAGAATGTGTGTGTGTGTGTGTGTGTGTGTGCACATGCGCGCCATTACTTTAAAAATGCTTGTCCTCATCAAAACTTAATATGATTTATTGCAACACTTGTATAAAATCAAGAATAAATCTTATTAAATAAAATAATCATTAAAAATATGCACTATAAAATTCCGGGATAGCTATCAAATTTAATTTTGATTTAAATACATCCTTTTTAACTGCATATTTTAAGTTTGCTGCAAACATAATTTGTTTTTTTCTCAAAATCAACACTTTAAATTTTTGAGGGCCTATCTTTACAGCTCTTTATATGCTCTTACATTCATCAATATTATTTTAAATTAGTTTAAAAATCACATAGAAGGCATCCAACACTTCAATGGAATGGGAAATATAGAGACATATTTTCTGTATTTCATGAAAAACATCCTAAACTACTGAATTAAATTCTATTATTTCATTTTTTTTATTAAAGTAGATATTTTTTTAAACTGATTAAATTTATATCATTGCAACATTAATTTCAGTCTATGCTAGTGTTATGTAGCAGGATTAATGTTGCATCATGCTGGAAAACTATAAGTACTAGTGAATGATAAGAAAAAAATGTACTGTGCACTTATCTGTAGCAATACATGACAAGACCAACTACTAGTAGCCACAGACACTATGCGTTATTGAAATGTGATTGGTTTCTATAAAGAGCTACAAAAGAATTAACTCAGTATTAATACATCACACTAGATGCTGTTTAATAAACAATTAGAATTACTAATGAAAAAACAAAATATTTGTGGGGATTATCCACTTTGTCTGCCAAGATGCCCGCTAGGTGAATTTTTATATTCAGTACTATACAAGTAAAGAATTCACCCTCTTTTCTTCTTGCTTCAGGAGGTAGTAGCACTCTTCCCGTCTGAGGAAACTAACCCTAACTAAGTCAACTGCTTTAACTTTACTGAACCAAGTAGCCCACTTTTTCTTTCTCTCTCTCTCACACACACTACTGTTAAAAGTTTTTCTTTCTTATCTGGACACATGTGTAGCAATTGCTATGTTTTTCCACACCCACATTTTATTCATCTGCGATTGGCTAATAAATCAATACTACTTTTCTATAGGACAATTTAGCCATCGCAGTCATTTCTTTGAATCCTTTGGTTTTGAGCTTGCTTGCCTGTTTTGCTAGTATAAATGTCGTGATTGGTTAATTTTTAACCAATCACAAATTTTAGTGCAAGATTAACCTGTTTCCGCACTTCTGTGGGAACCTATTCTTTTTCTATAAAAGAGGCGACTTTTTCACAAGTCGTCAGAAGGATCCAGTAAGTTTCGCTTGTCAAAACAAATTCACGATCTTACTCGTAACATTTCAAACGCACACACAAACACAGAATTTTGTAATATAAACTCCCACTTCTCTCTGTGACTTAGCCAAGCTCAATCAACCAGGGGACTGTTAATTTCAAACCATTCTATAACACAACAGTAACACATTTTTGATCAATTGTATTCTTGTGTTATCTATTCTAACAAAGAGACCTTTGTTCTAATATTGATTCCTGAATATTTTTCTCTCAAAAAGAACTTCCTTCAAACAATCAATTACAAATCAAAATACAATTAAAGGGGAACAACTTCTTTCCCTTAATCTATACATTGAATACAATTTTATTGCATGTTTGTCCTTGTATGTTATTTCAATATATACTTGTTGATTCACAGTTTGGAGTTTTTGTTGTTTACTTGAATCCTGTACGTTGAAAGTATAATAATATAAATAGTACTGGTCCATCTACCCACTGGGCAATTACACATGTAAATATGACTTTCTCTTTTTATTCAGTTATGTTGTTCTTTACATGAATAAAAAAATTCCTCCACTTATTGAATTCATTTATTTTGAAAGTTTTCCACCTTAGCTATAACAAATCCAAAATAACTCACCCCCACTACAAACTGATGACCAACTACAACCTCATCAATAACAATCCTGTAGCACCTTTTCACTACTTACTAAAATCTGGGGGGAGTCTAACTAATCTTGTAAAAGTATTGTTACTTTCTTTTGTCTAAAAAGAATGGAGTTGAATTTAAGTTTATGATCTTGAAGCTAAACTATTATAATTCAATGTCAGCATCAACAATTCAACTTTGTTTTGCAGGGCAAATGTAATGGCAAATCTGGACATTTTCCTGCTGCCTATGTAGAACGTCTGCAACCAGGACAACGTATCTTTCAGGTGACAAGCCCTATCCACATCAATGAAGGGGATGTAGATGTGCGCTTTCATAAAGATCAAGTAAGAGAAAAATCATCTTTATTATTTATTTTCATATTAGAAATTATTAGTATTGAGAAAGGGCAAGTTTTCATTCACCACAAGATCATGGGTTCTAAAAGTTTGCAAACATGAAAAGGGATTCTTGCGCTTTCTCAAACAAAAGAACCTTCCAAATACAACAGGCACTTAAGGTCAGAAAGTATAGTGATAGAAATTTTGTGATAAATACAAAAATTAAGAAATTAATCCAAATTAACCAAAATAAAATGAGTTTTCGATTTTCTTTCAATTGGTTGAACAGTGACATAGCCATTGGAAATTTTGCCCTTGAGACATGGTGTCAACAAGACTCCTCATAATTCAAGAACTTTTTGGAGAATCCTCACAGTAAATGATGGCAGTTTTCTGAAGGTTCACAATCTTTGTCTCAATTTCTATTTTCTCTAAGCATTCTTTCAAGTTTCAAGGTAGTGTTCCAAGTACACCTATTATTACAGGAATTACTTTAACAATCATGTTCCATAGCTTCCTCAACTCTTTAGCCAGATCCTGATTTTTCAATCTTTTCAATTTCTTTGGATGTTGTAATGTATGGCAAGATTGGGTGAAACACCTAAATGATTGCTCTTCCAACTGCTATGGGATTAATAGGCAGAGTTGGAGGAGATGGGAAGTAACAAAAATATCACTGCCTTGGAAATCACAGCAACTTTAGGAACAAAATGCCCACAGGACCAACTTCACAAGACATTGTGTCTTGCCAACTGCTGTTTTTTTTTTCCTGCTTTTATTGGCATGAGGCAGCTTACAAAGACTCGGATCTTGACCAGTTGTAAAGAGGCCCATATCTAGACATGGCAAACTGTCCCACTGCTGACAGGAAAAACACGGATTTCACTATTGTTGACAAACATGTCTGCAGGCAATCCAAGGCCTCTTTTGCATCTGTACAGATGTACATTTTCCAAATGCGAATACACCGTTGTATTATATGGAACAGCAAAATAATTTGACAATTTCTACTTTCCTTATCTTTCACAATAAGGTCAGATTATTATTATGGTGGTGATTTCTTGGGGTTACCATATTGCAATTACACATCAGCAAACACTTCTCTATAGAACCTTGTTTATTCTGTTTCTTGTTTTGGTATAGTTGCATGTCGATATGGTCTGGGTCCTAGGTAATGTTGTTCAACTAGCACTGTTATGATCTATCTTTGGAATATTTCTAGTCACCGTTCCTTAGATCTTGGTCAAAGATATCCTTTTTTATTATAGCCAGACTCTTTCCTTATTAGATGTCCAAATCTTTTCAGCCTTCACTGGGAGATCACTGGATTGATTGATTGTTTATTTGTTTTATCAGAACATCAAAACCCCTGTGTGTCATTTAATGCTGAAACTGAATTCAGGAATATTTTAAGACATTTCAAGTGGTTGTGAGGTTTTAAAATTATTTTTAAAATATCATAAGTTGTATAGTATAGGAGTATTTCAAAACATAATAATTTGTATGGTTCAAAACCCAAGCTCTATTTTCTATAAAAGTTGGAAGTATTTTATTTTCTTCAAATATCCTATTATTTGGGCAATAGGTACATTTTTGAAGAATATACTAAGAATTTGTGCTTGGTAATAGTTACTACATACTTTTTGCGCTTCTTACATTCTATCAAGATATCTTTGACTGTTAGAAATTAGTTGTAGTGGGTACACTAAGGTGTAGTTTCAGCCTTGAGCATGTGTGTGAGGTGTGCGTCCAATTCTTATTCTCTTGAGAACTATGTCTTTTCTTCATATAGTTTATTGTTTGGGAACATGTCCCAAATTGCTTGCCATTTTCCCTTGATGTGTTGTGTAATTTTGCTTCTATAATCTGCATATGGGAGTTTGATTTTTGTTGCCTCTTTTGCATGTGTGCCAGCTTCATGATTTCCCTTGATGCCTATATAGGCATCCAGGTCAATATTATTGTCTTGTGCTTTATTAAATGACGACAAGTTTCTAGGATTTCTTGAGAGACAGGGATTATTTGTGTGCTTTTCTTTAATTGCTGTTAAACCAGATAGGAAATTTATATTCTCAGATGCCCTATCTTTTGAATTTTTCAATCATTTTAAGTGCCATTTTTATGGCTTGTATTATTTGGTAACCTGGTTTGTTTGCAAATTTGTCTGTTTGTGGCTGCTGTACCTATTCTATCTAGGATTTTTTGTGTAGAATGGTTTATAATTCTCATTCTGGATTGAGGTGGTAGGCTTGTTTTTTTGCAGAAATGCATGCAAACTGTTTTTGTTTTGGAGAAACTGAATCCATATTCATATGTTGAAACATTTCAAGGAAGACATGTTTTGTGATGAGTATGATATTGAGAGATCATCTACATGTAGGCATTTTTCAATTCCTGTATTAATGGTTTTAATAATAATATTTATTTTGAGAATAAATAATGTAACTGATAAAATGCTACCTTGAGATACTTCTGTCTTCTGCTTGTGTGTGTCTGATGTTGTGTTTCCATTTCGTACTTTGAATTTTCAGCTTCATAAGAAGTTTGGATGATATTATATAGTTATTCTTCCTTTTATTCCCATAATGTGCATGTCTTTTAGGATACCATACTTCCATGTGGTATCATAATCTTTTTCCAGATCAAAAAATATTGATACCACATGATGACCACAAACAAAGCAATCATGAATAAAGAATTCTAACCATACAAGTTGATCATTGGTTCCTTGGTTTTTCTGGAATCCACTTTGGTAACTAGATAAGAGATTGTTTCTCTCCAAGTACCACATTAGTCAAACATTTACCATTTTCTCCATCATCTTGCAAATGCAATTTGATAGTGCAATAGGTTGGTAGTTTATTGGGTTGGAATGGTCTTTGGCAAGTTTAGGAATTGGAGTGATGATAGACTCAAGCCATAATTCTGGAAATTTGTCTGAACACCATATATCATTGAACATCTGGAGAAGTATTAAAAGAGACCTTTCTGGCAGATGTTTTAAAAATTGGTAATGGATTTCATCTGGACCAGTTGCAGTGGTTTTATTTTTGTTTTGTCATAGAAAAGAGAATATTGTATTCTTCTTTATTGTTTGAAGTAAATATAAGTTTCTCTTGTTCCATAATGTTTTTATATTTTTGAAATTTGGGAGTGTAGTGATTTGTTAAGGAGTTTCTTTCTAGATATTTCTTTTCTTTCCAGTGCATTTATCTCCATTTGTTTTGGTTAAATGCACTGTTGCAGTTTGTCATGTTTTTCTATTAACTTTCCTCATTATTTTCCATGTTTTATTTATTGGTGTTTTGTTAATTTGCAAATGGAGTTTTTCCAAGTTTCTGTTTTGGATTTTTTTTTAATATGACATGCTTTTGCTCGAGCTTGCTTGTAATTTTGTAGGTTGATTGTTGTTGGGTTGTCTAAGAATATCTTTAGTATTTTTTTCCTAATTTTAACTGCTTCTCTGCATTCTTCTGTGAACCAGGGTTTTGATTTGGTATGTGGTTTAAAGGAAGATTTGAGTATTGTCTGCCTTGCAATTTGTGTTAGTATGTTTGTAAAAGAGATTATTGGTTCTGGTTCATTAAGAATTTCCATGTTGATTTGGGATGAGTAGAGTTCATTGAATTTTATCCAGTTAGCTTTGTGAAGTTGCCATTTTGGATTCCTTTCTTCTGGCATAGGCAAATGGTCACTACTATTAGGTTGGTGCAAAAAATAATGTCGTTTTTTGATGTTCAACTTAACGTCAAAAAACGACATTATTTTTGCACCAACCTAATATATTGGTCATCATGAACTTCCCATTGAAAGTCCATAAAAACTGATGGGAGAGTGTATAGTTAGGTCAATGGCTGATGTCGATCTGGTACCTGGGTGTAGGTACATGTGCATTTGGTTATTAAAGATACATAGATCAGATGATTCTTGTAGAGATTATATAATTTTACTAGTTTGATTGGGGCTTCTACAGTCCCTCATTTTGCTATGTGTATTAAAATCTCTCATTAGTAGAAAGGGAGGGAGAAGTTGGCCAATTAGCCTTTCTATTTCAGTCTTATTCAATCTGTGATTTAGAGGAATATAAATTGAACATATAGTTATTGTTTGATGAATTGAAGCTTTTACTGCCATGATCTGTAGATTGTATTTAATTGTAGTTTTTCATTATGAGTTTTTTTAACCAATATTGAAGTACTCCCCAGCTTGGCCAATTCTCTAGTGTTGATACATTTATTTTGTGGTAAGTTTTATATCCTTTAAAGGAAATGTTAGCAGTTTCTTTGAGAAAGTAAGCAAACTATATTTGGATTGTATTCTGTAAGCAGTTGTTTGATTTCCTCAGTTTGTTTTAATACCTCTACAGTTCCATTGTTTGATGCATGTGTTCCTTTTATCCATTTGAGTGGTAATTATTTTTATGAGTGTATCTTAAGGGTGATTGTTTTTGTATTAATTATCCATATTTCCTTTCCATTATAAGATTTTTTGTTTTGTCAAGTTATGCCATCTTGTTTATGACGTATTGAGGATGTAGAATCCATTTTCAAAGTTTTCAAACTTCTCATCCTTGTTTGGCTATTTTGGTTTGGTTTTTGTCTTTTTCTCTCATCTTTGAGATAAGTCTTTTTTTTTTTCTTTCTTTTACTGATTTGTGTTTTGTTTTTTTTTTCTTTTTGTCTGGCTTTTTATGCTGGCTTTTAAGGCTTTAATGAGATTTTGCAATTCATTTGTTAATGATATTAATTCTGTTTTCTCAGGTTATTTCCTAGATTTTCATATGGTGGGGTTTTGGTGATTTTTACATAATTTTGTAGAGAAAGAGGTTTCTGTAAGTTTTCTTGTTTCTGGGAATGTAATGTTTTGAGTGATTTTAGTTCTTATTTTTTTTCTTCTTTAGACTCAGCTCTGCAATCTCCATTGAAGTTGATACATTTTACTTGATTCTTACATGTTGTATTATCATGATTTGGTTCTATTTCCCCCACATCTTGCACATGTTTTTTTTCCTGTACAATATTCCTTTAGATGGCCACAGATTTGACATTTGTGTCATCTTCTCACATTTCAAATATATTTATCTACTTTGGCCATTAAATATCCAATGTTAATTTTGGATGGTGGTGTCAGAGTATTGAAACTTAATATATGTGTTTGTATTTATTATCTGATTTTGTTTTTTAATTGTTATCCTTTTGTTTTTTAACTCGGCTTTAATCTCTTCTATCATACAAAATGATAGATCTCCATTACAAACTACACCTCTGGAGATATTTAATCTTTCATGTGGGTATGCTTTTACATTAATGTTATGAAATTTTTAATCCTTAACAGTTTACTCACATGTTTTTTTATTTTGTATTTCTACCAGGATGGTTCCATTTTTTTTACTGACTTAGAATTAACCATTGTGGATATAACCCTCTGTATAAGGAATAGTGATAATTTAGTTAGTGGCACCTTCTCTCTAGATTCTAGTATTATGAATCTAGAAAAGAGTACCTCAAGCTGCTCTTCATCAGAATCTGATTCCATGTGGAGTCTTTTAAGCTTGGGTTTTTCTTTCTGTTTCCATGTAATGAAATTATGTTCCATTAACTGTGCTCCTCACCCACCACGGAACTGTACAAGAGGAAATGCGAAGGGGGAAGCCAATTCACCTTGGCAGATCAGGGCTACACAGTCAGTATACTCACACCATGATGAGGTAATAAGTGTTTAACCTCCTAAGTTTTAGTTCCCAAGTTAACTTTTTCCTCAGGCATAGTTTGAAACAATCATCCCTTATTAGCAGGATTGAACATACAACCACTGCTTTCTGATTCAGTTTTTTCCAGAGTTTGTAAGAATAGGAATCAGGGCTTAGCATGACCAGCTGGTTGATTGTATTGGGCACCTCTGATTGCCAGTCTAGCCCAGGTAAAGGCCAAAGTGTTGGGATCACAGGTCACCACCCACAGTCAACAGATGGACTCATTTTGGGTGGTTTACCACTCTGCAGTTGTGCAGTTGATGTATTCTGAAGCCCCAGCCAACACTGTGAAAGAAAATCACTGGAATCCAAGTAACATTTACTTTAAGGTTTAAAGGAACATTAGCTTTTGTTAATAAATAACCAGTGTCTGAATGTAAAAAAAAAAAAAAAAATAAATTTATTAATATATGGACATTGCCAAAAAACAGAAAAATAGTTGCAGAATAAAAAAAGGAGGCAATTGTATCCATTCTAGAATGACTTAGAAAGAAAAAAAATTGAAAAGAAAAATAGTTGCAGGATAATTATAAAAATGATAAAAAAAATACAAACAAAAAATAAAAAATAAAATGATAAAAAAAAAATTACAAACAAAAAAATTATAAAAATGATAAAAAAATAGTTGCAGGATAAAAAAAAGAGACAATTGTATCCATTCTAGAATGACTTACAAAGAAAAAAAAATTGAACAAAATAAATAGTTGCAGGATAAAAAAAATTATAAAAATGATAAAATAAAATTATAAAACAAATAAAAAAAAAAAATAAAATGATAAAAAAATAATTGCAGGATAAAAAAGGAGACAATTATATCCATTCTAGAATGACTTAAAAGAAAAAAAAATTGTAAAACTTGAAAATCCTCGGAAGAATTGACATTATCTAGATGTGGTCTTACTAATATTTGGCAAGAATATTTAAGAGAGCATTGACGAGACTTGTTGTCATTTGATCTTTAGTGAATACCACCCAAGGACTTAAAATAAAAAAATAGATTGCTCATCATTCTCTCAACCCTACCCCTTTAAATTCTATTTATTTATCTTACTTTTTTATAATTGATTAACTCAGTATTCATTCTTTCCTCCACAGATTGTTCTCCAGGTTGGAGAGGAGTCAAATGGAAGTATCTTGGTTAAGTCAATGAACAACAGACAAGCAGTCTGCCCACTGAAGTACCTGGTAGAAGTATAAAATCCCATAGAGGAGCTCCAAAGACTTAGAATTGCTGAATCAGCAATAAATCTATTTGTTAACAAGTAGTGTCACTTTTCCCCTGCCATACCACAATCCAATCCCTAAATAATTGCCCTTTTTTATTTATTGTATTTCTTTTTTCAGATAACTCAAATCTAATAAGGACTGAGAAATTCTCCATTGCTTTACTCTCATCTTTCTTCCATATTGCTTTACTTTCGTCTTTCTTCCATATTGATTTCTAGTATTAACAAACAAGAATATCAGTAACAACAAAAAATGCTGAGATTGCATTCTATTGTGAATATATTTATTATGCCATTTTCTGAAACTATTTTAACAGAAGGAAAATAATTAGATGTGATATTAACCTAAAATAACATGTGATATAAGTAATTGTATTTTGACTGTACACTCATCCAATTGTGAATTTGCATTTCCAAAAACAGAATTTCTCTTTGCTTGACTTCTTTCTTTCTTTTTTTGTTTTTGTTTTAAAAGCATGGAGAAAGACTAAGAAATCTTAACAGAAAAAAATGCAGTCATCAACTGAAGATAGTTATCAATTATTTACTTATCAAAATGTTGACAAAATTTCACATTCCGATAAGAGTTCAGTCCAAATGAAAATAATGTAATTCCTTTTTTATGTAATTTTAGCAAGATTTCCACAAAACTTCATTTATTTTATGATGGAATACATTAGAATCAAGCACAAAAAACTCATTTCACTGCCTTATTATTTTTCTTCAGTTTAAATCAAATGTAAATATCCGCTTTCAAACCACAGAAAATTGTGATAAATTAGTATAACCTACTTAAATATGCCGAAAATAACCATAATAAAATAGCTATGAAGAGGTTACTTTTTATTATTATTATCATCGCAATCATATAACCTATTAACCACAATTTCTATTGTAAATTATATATATACCTGTATAAGAATAGAATGCTTCAGATTACTATTCCACTATTGCTTTTTATCCATACAATAGTTTATATAGTTTCTGATCTATATCTAACAAATTTAGTATCAAGTGTATTCTTTTTTAGTTGAATAGAAGTTTAACGGCAATAAAAGATTAAACAATTAAAAACAAATAAAATTTAAGTAACTGAAAACTCTGTTTCTAAATGCTCTCATAACTTTAGCATTCAAGCAGATAATAAGCAACATCAGTTCTGAAATACAATTTCTGAAATTTTAGGTGAAAATATCAATAGAATAATTTTGACAATATCATTTATTTCAGTACATTTCTATTTCATTAATTTGGAATTTAATGCTCTGATTGTTTACTTTTAAACTCATCAGTGTCACTTGTTTATATATATATATATATATATATATATATATATATATATATATAATATATAAAAGGGAATTTTATTTAAATTTCTACTATGTACAGACAAAATTGATTTGAAAAAACTGTAATGGTTTGCAAATAAATTTTCCAAGAGAGCTAATCTCAAAATACTAATATCTACTGACTGATAAACTAAATAATGTCAAAATGTACCAAAGTCTTTACATGTTCATTTAATTTGGTTGAAACAAAAAAAATAAAATGAAAAATTTTTTTCTCTTTTTATTTCAAAATTTTTATCATGAATTGAAATAAAATAATATTATAGTATATATTTTATACCTGTTATTAGGTAAAGATTTACTGCTTGGAAAATTCGATTAATAATTAATAAAACAAGAATAAGTTTATCAAATAATGAATTTCAAACAACAATAAATATATTTTGAAGTGTGAGAATCAAGGTTTCCTATTTGAATGCTACTTCCTTAGTCAGAGAATAACAATACACTCATAAGTAAATAAGACAAGGCTGATTTAAATATCACTACAAAATACTTATTAATTTTTGATGAGTATTGTTTTCATCTTCAGTTGCTTTTTAATACAACTCTCCTCAGAGCTACTGACATTATTTCTGATCTGTGTTGCTTACGAAATAAGTCCTTGTCAAAAATTATCAATAATTTAGAACACTTCAACTAATAAATATAATTAAATATACTAAAAAACTGATTTTAATCTTGAGGTATATTAATCTTTCTTCTTTTTTTTTTTTTTTAAATATGATACACATTGATATTAAAATAGAGATTCAAGAAGATCTAGATTTAAAAATGTTAGCCATATTTAAGCAATTTTGCAATAGCATTGATTATACTTTCTGCATGCATAATCAATGATTTTTACAAAGCAAAAGAATTAAAAAGAAATGTATTATAAATTATTATTTACTTTGTCATTGTAATATAAGGCTTGTTTACTTTTTTTGTCTCCAATGATAATTAATTATGACAATGCCTCCTATTACAATTAATGACAATTAATGCCTCTCATTACAATAAAGTAGATACATCAGGCTACATGACTGATAAATATATAAAGTTACATTCTAAGAATTCTACCATTAATATGTCAAAGAAAATATATATATATATATATAGCTTGTTTTTTAAATGAATATCAACTCATCTACTTAAGCTGAAATAACCTCTTGAGTCAGTATTAAACATTTCATGCACAGTAATTAATAGAATGGAAAAATGAGATATAATACAAAAAAAAAAAAAAAAAAAAAAAAAAAAGATATTTTCTTACCAAAACAATATTAAATTTTAAAAAATGTATTTCAAGCTTTTTTACTTCTATCTACCAAAGATAAAAATTTTGTTTTTCTTTTTTTTTTTTTTTTCTCCAATCTTTGAATGTATCCAGGTATTCCCATTTGATTTATCTCAATACATAACAGAATCTTCATTTTAAGAATGTTAATTATTCAAATAACAAGAAATTAATTTTGAAATTATTCATGAATTTGCATATAAAATTTCATGAAAATATATTTCTAACACTGTTAATTTTATAAAGTTAAAAAACAAACCAATAAATCTACACTGTCAAGTAAAACAATTTCAACATCCAATTATTGAGAATATATCTGTTCAACATATGTCTACATATTAATACCAACAAGATGTTATAAGCAAGAACAAGGATATTGCAGTCTTTATTTAATTTAGGATTTACATGTATGTTTATGCATTCCTAAGATAATAAAAAATAGATTATAAAAGTATATTCAGCAAGAAAGCATAATTAGAATCATAAGTATAGCACACAACCAATCATATGCATTAAAAAATGTTCTGTGATGCATTGTGTCAATTGTGATCAAATACAAATTGGAAAGAATATTGATTTTTTTTTCATTTGGATGACTTAAGGAACTAATTCCACAAAAAAATAAAAACCAAAAAGTTTTGCATATAGGAAAATTTTATAGACATGCTTGGTTTCTGAAGGATTCCTGATTTTTAATCCATTTCCTAAATTAGAGCCCTCATAGTGCATGAATAATTATTGATACAGAGATTATAAATCTCTGAAGCTTTTTATTGTATTTACAGAATGTCAAAGTATATCATAATATATCTTATCTGCCAAATATTTTTATATTCTCCAGTCTTGTAATAAGTCAGAGTTGATCATATTTAAAATTTTATCATCTTGTAGGCAGCAAAAGTTTATCTTTACCAAAGATAATTCATTTTAATCTTTCAGTTGTGTTGTCAAATCCTGCTAAGGCAAGAGAAAATGACTGAAATTAACAGCATGGCTACTGCAATTGAAGGGTCTTGGAAAAATAAATGCAATGAAAGAATATAAATGAATAATGCAGTACTAAAGGTTAATATATCCTTGTGAATTTCTAATTCAAAATCATTTACATCTTTAGATTCATTATGATTTATTTATTTGTGTCAACTTGAATTACATAACAATTGTAATCTTTATCATCAAATCACATAAATTGAAAATAAATAATATATTAATTTCTCAACAAAGAAAAACTGAAAAATTACATATTCTTTTCCAACACTTTTCTTTTATATATCTTTTAAACATTTCATATGAGAAAGCTTATCATTCAGAAATATACATGGATATACAAAATAAGTGTACCTCTTAGTAATTCTTTCACAATTTATTAAAGGCATATGTTAAAATTGAAATTCTTTTTTAAAGTACATACCAGTTGAAAATTATTTGTCATCTTAACCCTTTCTATCCAAAATTTTATGTATTCTTTAATATTGTTTATATTAAAAAAAATCATGAAACCTTCAATCAGCTCTATCCTTTAGATCCAATGTGTTTCTAAACCTAAAAATGTCTCTACAGTATAATTATGTAACAAATTGGATTATTTACAGAAATTAACTGGTATTATGAATAGATATTTTCTTAGAAGTTATATACCCCACAATCAAAAAGTTCAATAGCATTTATTTCCTTACATATATGACTTATATTTTTCCATTTTTCACTGTAGAATGCAATCTTGTTATATTCTACCATTTTAGATTGGTCTGTTGTTATTATTATTATTATTATGTTGTTGTTGCTTTTTTTAATTGCTTGTTGTTATTTTAATTGAAATGAAATAGCCGAACAACAAATTAAAAGAGAGGCCAACAAAAAGAGAGAAAATCTGAGAAGGAAACAAGCATAATAAGTTTGTTCTTACTATGGAATATTCCTTACAATTGATAACTCCAAATTTTGTGATGAGATTTTACAAGATTTGTTCACAAGCTACAAGAATTCATAAAAGCAAGAATCAACCAGTGGCAGCTGTATATTTCACTTGTTTTCTTTTCTTTTTTTAAACAATTCATTTGCTAATCCTAATACAACAAATTAGGCAGTCTAAAAACATCAGGATTTAAAGGAAATAATTTTAACCAATAAAACTTAAAAACATAAATCATAATTATAAACAAAACTATAAACTCAATAGTTAATAATATAGTAAGAAAATTATAAATAAACAATATTATAAAAATGAAAAACATGTAATAAAATTACATGAATACAAAAAATATTATTTTGTTTCTTCATAATGGAGTTGATACTTAAAATTTTGAAATTTCACATAAATTTGGTTGAGAATAACAATTATGA